TCCAGTCCTAGAATCTATGAATCTATGGTCCACCAAAGCACTTAAGCAAGTCCCATTGAAATCACTGGGACCATTCACATGTTTAAATGCAGGATCTGTGCTCACAGGGTGAGTCCAGACTGGTCTGGATGTACTCTGAACATGGTGGGAAACCGAAGATCTGGTAAATAGGGTCCTTCTCTAGTACCAGCAGCAGAATCCCCTGTGGTCTAAAGGAATGTGTATGAAACTAGGAGCTTGAGTTATTTGTCAACCTCCTTCCATCTGACTTTGTAATATTTATTTATTTATTTATTTATTCAACACCAACCCTCTGCCTCCTCCCACACCCAAACTCCCTCCCAGAGCCCGCACCACCTCCCACACCCCTGCCCCAGGCTCAGCCTGGAGCACCCTCCCACATGCCAAACCCCTCAGCCCCAGCCCAGAGCCTGCATCCCGTTCTGCACCCCAACCCTCTGTACCACCCTGGTGAAAGTGGGTGGGGGAGAGCAAGCGACAGAGGTAGGGGGGAGCTGGAGTGAGCAGGGGCACGGCCTCAGAGAAGGGGTGGAGCAGGGTCTTGGGGAGGGGGCGGGGCAGGGGTATTTGGGTTTGTGCGATTAGACAGTTGGCAACCCTAGCAATAAGTTATTAGTCAGAGCTCAATTTGTTTCCAAAGGAAAAATATATGAGAATAAGTGGCTTAGAGAGAAGAGAATTCCTATAAAAATCTGTCAAACATACTGGACTGCTGGGACAAGGACATAAATGTAAACATACAACAAAGAAATATTTTAAGATTCAGACATGTATATAAGGTTTTGTGTGTGGAAGGGGAAGTATGATATAGTGTATTACTTGAAAATTAGTATGTGATAATTTAATTAAAGGCTATTGTAATACATAAAATGTGCATGTTCATCCTTAACTTTCTTCTTTCCTGACTTTTGAGTACTTAGTTGCAACCTGAATGTTCTTTTATTGTAGTTTTTTAATTAAATTAAATGTGTTGATTTTAAATAATGTAAGTTGCTGCTAAAGCAATGGGTGCTATTTTTATTTTTATATAATATATATATAAATAAAAAAAAATAAAAATAAAAAACAAATAAAAAGCTACATTTTCTCTGGGCTACCAACTATATTTACAACTAAATATTAATCTCTTTATAACACTTCTGGATATAATTGGCTTCCATGAATGCTCTTGTGAAAAGGTTACAAAATACGCCCTATGTATTTCATAACATATGATGTTCACCTAAACAGAATCTCAGGCTGGTGTTAAAAACATGACTTGTGAAAATAAAAAAATTGTAAAGCAGAGAGTAGCTAAGCTAAACAAGACATGCAGAGGGCTGAGTCACACACCTTAATAGGAGCTCAGGAACGCAAACAAGTCGAACATTTTCGCTACTGTGATAAAGTATATAAACTTCACTCATTCTAAAAAGGTAACTGCAAGACTTAACCATGCAGTACAAAGTGTCATTTGTAATTCATCTCTATTGTGTACAAAACTGTCTTTTCTAGGAATGCTAGGGACAAATGGAAGCTTTCTCAAGTCACAAAAGGATTCCCACCCTATTATGGAGGTGGATGAGGAAGCTCACACAGGAAAAATGCAGCTCCAAAAAAATGATGGTGTTTCTATATCCTTAAGTAGAGACAGCCTGGAACCTGATGGTAAGAAATAACAGAGAGAGGAACCATTTAATCAGATTATTAGCAAATTGTTGGCCAAGTTATTATTAATGAAGAATATATTTTTCTAAAAATAAACACAAGTGGTGAGAATTGGTGAAACTGTTACCTTAAAACATTGTTCTCGTCCCTGATTCTGCAGCTAACTCTGCATAGGGGTCTATCTGCATGGAATCAGTTGCAGGATCCAGTACACTATTTATTATTTCTTTAATACCATTAGCACTGTATGTGACTGTCTTTTATTATAATTAAACTTCTATGATTATTCCATGTACTGAGATTGTATTATTGTAATTAGATTGTCATATGTTTTTAAATTTAGATTCAGTTGTGGCTTCTGGACCCAATCAAAGTATTTTGGGAGCTGGATTGGATACTTTGGAAGAACAAGAAGAAAAAGAGAGATTCTTTGCTAAACTTGAAAAAGGAGCTTCATATACCATTGATTATTCAAGATTAAACAAAGAGCTGGACTCAAATGATTCTATATTACTAGCAGCATTTGCCTGGTAATGTGTGTGTGGGGGGACCCTACGCTGAAATTACTACATTACTTTTAATAAATGTATACACCTCTACCTCAATATAATGCTGTCCTCGAGAGCCAAAAAATCTTACCGTGTTATATTGAACTTGCTTTGATCCACCGGAGTGCACAGCCCCGCCACCCCGGAACACTGCTTTACTGTGTTATATCCGAATTCGTGTTATATCGGGTCGCGTTATATCGAGGTAGCGGTGTGTGTGTATATATATGATGGTGCTCAGAAGCCCAAATCACGATCAGGGTATCATTGTACTAGGTACGTTATGAATATACAAAATGATGTGGTCATTACTCAGAGGGTGTGATTCCCAGCTCAAGGAGACACATGGTAGCTGCGATCAAGCTAGCATACTAAAAAGTGTGGTCATGGCTGCATGACTGGTGGGTGGGGCTAGTCATCCAATTACATGCTATGGTCTCAGATGTGTATGTAATCGGGATGTTGCCCTCCTGCCAGTCATGTTGCTGCCATCATGCTCTACTTTTAGTGTCCTACTCTGATAAGAGCTAGAATGGGTATGTCTCCTCAGCTCAAAGTGCAAATGTACCCCAAAAACCTAGGGCAGGACACAAATGAGATTAGCAAAAGGAGAGTCATAGTGATAGTTACACAGACCTGTACACAACTTGATAGTTACAAGTTATTTAATTTTTTTCTTAACTGTAACATGTAAATTAAGATATTGGTAATCCATACTAACCTTCCACTTAGCCATTTTCTTTTAACATATTCCTATAGAAATCACATTAGAAGTGAGACTTGGGGAGGGATTTGAAGTAGTGACTTCCAAGACTAGATCTGGGAGGTCATTCCATGTGTAAGAGGCAGTGTGAAAGCTGTGGGAGAAGTAGACAAATGGGCAGTCAAGGCTGGCATAATTGGGTTTGCTTAGAGATTGAAAAAGAAACTTCTTAAGATATAAGAGCAGATAAGGAAGGAGAGGGAGAGTTCTGAAAAGCTTTAAAAGTGAGGACAACAATCTTAACTTTGAAGGGAGCCAAGAGAGGAACTCAAAGGGTGGAACATGGCAAAGTCAAAACAAGAAGCAAAAATAATGATGATAGCCCCTCAAAACAAACATGCCTATGTGGGTGTGAAGGAAGCTAGAGAGGAGGTGGTTGCTGTAAACAATTAAGAGTGAAGAGGCTTGGGGGTGAGAGTTTTAGCTGTGTGGACAGCTGTAGCAACACTTACACAAGTAGAATGTAAAATCGAATATCCATGATTAGATCAGTTTGCACATATTATTACAATTACTAGTGTGAGGCAGGAAGCTTTTTAATACAAATTAAAAAACATCTAAATTGGTGCTCATAAATGACAAGGGAGACAGTAACATTTTTGAAAAAAACAACAAGGAGTCTGGTGGCACCTTAAAGACTAACAGATTTATTTGGGCATAAGCTTTCGTGAGTAAAAACCTCACTTCTTCGGATGTATAGAGTGAAAGTTACAGATGCAGGAGTAACATTCTTGGTTTTTTTGTTTTTTGTTTTGTTTTTTTCCCTCAGCAATGAACAAAATGTAGAACAAGTGGAAGATGAATCTAAACATGAAGAGAAATGTGGTAATAGTCTAATCTTCACATATAATACACTTACGTTTTCTTGTTTAATTTGTGGAGTCTCTTCTTTTTGGCATTACTTTATACCCAGCAGTGTAAGCTAAGAATAGAGAAAATTTTACAAAACTGCTGAATAATTAACAAAAGGTGAACTCCCTGCACTAGTGTTAATTATAGAAGCTACTGAAGTCATCAGAAAAATTCATGTTGGAATATCTGAGTAGAGCAGGATCTCCACATTTCCTGGAAAGGAAAAAATACAATTTAAAACTTTTGTTTGTCCCCTACTTCATAGATGGTGAGCCAGAAAATTTGAGGCTCCTCTCCTTTTGCATATTCCAAATAGACAAGATAGTATAGCAACATCATTGAAAGGTAGAGTAGTGGGGGTATTATGGGAACCAGGTGATCTTTCATCTGGCTTTCTTCCACATCAATATTCATCCCAATGGGTGCAACCTGTTTTTATTTGAATGTCAAGGTGATTTTCTTATTGTCTGTACTAATAAGGACTTGGGATCTGCCTTTTATAACTTTACAGTCCTTCCGTCAGGTGATTCCCAGATCAGCCTCCTCAGGTGATCAGAACCTCCCAGGTAGCTTGGTTTCCAGGCGACATCTCCCCTGATAAACCAGTTCTGCCCGGCAAGAGCCTGCCTCTTGTCTAGGATGTTTAGAGACGGATCCTAGTTTAAGGACCTCTGTTGTCAGCCCTGTATAACTCCCACTTGAAATTTCAGTCCAACATGGAAGTAAAAGAACAGAGAAGGAAAAGGGCTGCCCAATCCAAAAGGGAGTTAGGAGCTTGGTAAAGACACATACAGAGAGTTCATAATCTCACACCAAATTCATAAATTGTAGATTCTTCAAATTGACACACTGCCCCTCTTAGCCCTTCTCTACTTTTCCCTTTCACTGTGCTGCTGCTCCTCCCTCTCCCCTTACTTGTGCTCTTTCTTGGTTTATCCATTTTATTCCATACTGGCCTCTTAATCTATTCTACTAAAAGGGCAAATTCCTTTTTAAGATGGAATTAATTAATTGTTTAGCTGATCTGTCCAGAAATCCATTTTGGAAACTTTGAATTTAATAAACATAAAGAAACTCTTATTAAATCTAAGTAAAATGTGTATTTGCAAACTTTAACTAACTAAAGGAAATAGTCTTTCTTTAAAATGTATGGGTGCATTGTCAGTTCAAGAGTTATAATAGAAATGTTAAAATAAATTTGTAGTTTTACAAAGCTAAAAGAATAGAAATTCTTATAGTAACAATTTAGTTCCTATATAGTTATTGTAGTGTGTGTGTATATGTATATATTTATGTATAGACGATAATTATAGTCTTATAATTTTTTATAGTGAAACTCGTATAGTAACAATTGTGCTACATAATCAGAAACTAACGTATACATTTTGAATCCTCAAATGTTAAACAAAAATATCATTGGGAATGGTGGACAATCCTGTTTGTAGCAATTACACTATGTACTCATTTTAATTTGGAGGGACTATACATGATTTATTCTTCATGCTAATTTTTGTTACTGTGTTGCTCACAGAGCTTATTTTGTATTTGTTGTTAGCAAAGCATTTTCCTGACACTGCCTGTATCCAAAAAAAAAAATCATCTTTATTTCCTGCTTAATTATACTTCAGGCAATTACAGTGAAGATTTTGAAGATGAGACTGAATCTGATTATCCTTCTAAAAATGAAGATAACCAAGTTGAGCAAACTGTCAGATCAGATGCTGATTTAAGTATTCAAGGACAGGTATAATATTTAAAATGTTGAATTTTGTGGCGTCAAGCATAGCAGCAAATGTCTATCTGCTTTAAAGATGTTCATAATTCTGACAAAGACCAAACTGCTAGTTTTTAAACGCTTCTTAAAAATCTATCATTTTAAACTAATTGTCTGAGCTTTTAAACTACTTGTTTGAGTTTATAGAGATCTACAAGTACACAAATGTACACGTAAAAGAACACAAGTAGCTATAGTTTTTTAAATGTACTTGCATTACATACAAGGAAGAATAGAGGTATTTGGTGTGATATTTTTCCATGAAGAGTGTACTCTTCCTAGTGGTTTGATCTTGATGGTCAGTATCAACCCTTGACATATCTACAGTACATGCTTATTTGCATTTTGAGTCAACGATCACAGATGGTAAGTGCAGTACTTAAAAGCACTGCACAGAGCTTCACAATGACAAGGAGCTTGTCATTTCAAGTAATACACTATATCATACTTCCCCTTCCACACACAAAACCTTATATACATTTCTGTATCTTAAAATATTTCTTTGTGGGGAGACCTGGGGAAGGGGCGAAAAAGCTATTGAGCTCTTCGGGGAAAAAGGAAAGCCTCTGGCCCATAGAACTTTAGAATGAAAAGAGGAATCAAACTTTTCCTTTCCACCCCTTCTCCCAAACAGTGCATACACGTGTTGGCTAGTGACCTGCTGGATGACTTGTGAAGGGGTGGTCAGGACTATCTGTATCATCAATGATGAACCTAGTGGATCTAGCCACCTGGAATTCTGTGACTAGGGGAATGCCGGAGTGTCATGGAGAAGGTGCAGTAGCTCTATACCTGTTCCCAGCTGCTGTCAAGGCTGTATCCCCACTTTGAACTTTAGGGTACAAATGTAGGGGCCTGCATGAAAACTTCTAAGCTTAACTACCAGCTTAGCTCTGGTCCGCTGCCACCATTTCCCAATTAGATTCCCTCCCTGGGAAGCCCTGAGAAACCTTTCACCAATTCCCTGGTGAATACAGATCCAAACCCCTTGGATCTTAAAACAAGGAGAAATT